CACTTTGTCTGCCCGTCCGCGTGCGCAGCGCCGGCCGCCGCGGCCGTGCGCGCCCTGCGCACATGCACGGCTTTAATAGCCGCGTATGCATCTCTATCGCCTCGTTATTCGGGGAAGGCGAGCGCGAGCTAAGCGGAGCGCTGGCAGCAGGGGTGATTGCAGGTCTGGATGCACACTCCATCTCTTCTCAACTCGCCGCCCTCTTCTTCTGCCCCACTCCCCCCCCAAATCATATTTGTCTGAGATTATGTCAAATTTCAGTGATCGGAAATGTCTTGCCCAAAAGCCATTCCCGCTGTAAAAAGTCAAAAGGGCTCCTGGCATTAAAACGACCTTGCGTCATTTCTGATGAAATTAGCAGCGCCACATGTTTAGGGACTTGCTATGGATGCACTTTGGTCGCAGTAAGAAGTAAGAGATCTGGGGCTTAATCCCCCTCTGAGCAGGAGCCGTCTGCTTTCACTAGCTGCGAGCCCGAGACCAGCACTCCAAAGCGCCTCAGATCCGCAGTCCATTCTTTTTACTTGTCTTTAAGTGCAAGCGATGGGAATTGCTAACCTCGGCTAAGAAAATTTCATTTCCCCCATCCTGCTAAACGGTTCTGGTCGACATATGTTTGTTATCAGAGAGAGGTGCTATGAACACAGAGCCATTTTCTTAGCAGCTCTTTGACTCTGTGTTACCATAGTCCCACACGGCATTGGTCCTTTCCCGTTGGGAAGTCATGAATAAGAGACTATGAAGCTTGCACGTCAGATCTTCCTCAATTAATCCACCATTAGCATGTTTGGGATCCTCTACTGGATGGTTAACAGCAGCTTTGGTAACTGTATGCTGTCCATACCCAATTATGCTCTGCTAAAAATGAACTCTGCAGAACAACCTTCCTGAGCTGTCAGTGTCTCCCGTTTTCCTATTTTAACGCTTGTGTGTAGTGGCAGGCGACAGATGGTGTAGATCAGATCGATTTGATTGCATTAGGCGATTTTTTTTCCCTCCTCTCCCCCCCGACTCCTTTTCTGGAAGCCCACATTCATCTGAGAGGCGATCGCCGGGGACATGGGAAGCAGGAGCAGCCGCCGATGTGTGAAGGCAACGCAGCCAGAGGCGCCGGGGTCCCTTCCCGGGGTTTGTTGAGTGGCGATCCGGCACCGGCAGGGGAAGTGGCTCCGGCTGCACGGAGCCCGCTCCCCGCCACACAGCAGATGCCTCCTCCCTGGTTTTACACACGCTTGGAGTTCGGCTCGCAGCCTGGATTTAAAGGGTAAGCGCTTGAGCAGAGGTGGATTTCTGGCGGTTACTCGGGTAGGTGGTGGAGAGCGAGCGCCCGGAGATTTTAAAAGGAGGGTGCCTTTAAGCGGAGATGTGTATTTTCTTCCCCCTTTTTTAAACCTTTCTCTCTTTTTTTTTTTTTTTTCGCGCCCCCCCCCCCCCCCCCCTTTTTTTTTTCTCTTTTTTTTTTTTTTTTTTTCTCCTGCTTAACCAGCCTCCTCCCTCTGACTTCTTCCCTTCTGCAAAGAAGGACACAACTGGTCCCTTCTCCTGCCTGTGTGGACAGCCCCATCCTACTGCTCCCCCAGATCCCTGTGGCACACGGTTCTCTACGGGGAACCCTGTGGTGAGGAGGTACCATCGGCCATCACCTTCGAGCAGATACAGAGCGAGCTTTGCCTTTGGCTTCCCCTAGCTGTGTGCTGACCTTCCTCTTCCCCTTGCTTTGGCCCCTTTGGCAGCTCCTTCATCCTGCCCCTGTCTTGCAGAGTCCCTGTGTGTGCTGTCCTTGGCCCCTTCCTCTCCTCCCTAACTGTATTGCCAGCCACCCTGTGGCTCCAGCTGGCATCTTACGCAAATCTTCAGCTATTGGCCATTATCAGCTGTACTGCAGTCAAGCCCACGCGCTCCCAACAAGAAGCAGGGCTCCTGCTGCACGCAAACAGAGTGAGAAGACATTTCTTCTTTCAAATCACTCGCAGTCTCTGTCCGGGGAAGTTTCGGAGGCTCCGCCGTGCCGGGGGTGCGGAGGCTGTTTCTCAGCGCTGGGGAGGGCAGTGCCGGAGATGGGCGCAGCGAGGGCGAGAGCGGGAACCGCATTCTTAAAAAATAATTATATACATATATATAATTATATATATATACACATGTGAAGGAAACCCCACCCCGCCGCTCAGCTTCCTGCCTAATTGCGACGCGTCTGTGCAGCCTCCGACTCAATGAGCAGAGCGGTCCGAGGGCATTGCTGCCCAGGGCTCGCGGTCCGGCGCGTTTTGACTTTTCCGAACGGCTTTTGTTCAAGTTAAACCCGCCGCATCGGCGGTTTTAGTCCTCGCGGCAGCTAATGGCGTTATAGCCCTCAGTTGCACAGTGGGAGGAAAATTGCAGTGTTTGTTATTTACTTTCTCTCTGCCATTTAAAATGCAACTTCAAAGCCCACTGTGTTCAAGGAATACAGGAAATTACACCGAAAATGAGATTAAAATAGAGGAGAGTGAGTTGAAAGTGTTGTTGGTTTTTTTTATTAATATTATCTAAGGTAATGTGGCTATCAAAGTAATTTTCTTCCTTTCTCTCTTTGTTTTTCTCCTTTCTTTCAAACCCCGGGAAGAGCCGGGCTAGCAAAACAAGCGCTCTCTTCGCGGGGGTTTCGCGGGGAGCCCGGTGCGGGCGGCACCTCAGGGAAGCCGGGCTCTCGCGCGGAGGGCGGAATCCGCAGCGGCGCGGGGTTTGCCCGGGGTTTTGCGTTTCGGAGGCG